CTTTTCAATGCTGTCGAACTGCTGAAATATTTCGAATGCGATGATTGCATCGTGAAATCAGAATTTCTTCTGGGAAATCTGTGCTCAGTAGGTAAATGAGTGCCACTATTCATGGATGGCCTTTCTAAGACTCCGCACAATTGTAATTGACGCAGTTCACTGCCACTTCTGATTGTCGGAATCTTTTCATCATGAAGGCGGTATATGTTGTGATAGATAATTGTGAAAAACTTGTTCATGTCTTTCTCGTAGGTGTCACGAGACCCCCTTCGCTCTTTTCTTTTTGCTTTTCTTGAATCAGGACCAGTTTGTTTTTTTCTCTCTTTTTCCATTTTCACGATTTAGCCTGAGCAGAAGAGCTGAAGAGCAACCAAGAACTCGGTGTAAACGTGCCTTCCAGTGGGTGTAACCGATGAACAAAGGCGGACAGCGATTTTAAGCGTTGCGAGCTTTTTATGCCCGTTTTTTCAATAATAACCACTGTCATATTCGAATGATTGAAGTCATCTTCGAAAGTTTACAGTTGATTGTGTCTCACCAAAAGCCGAATATTAGCGTCAAGAACTGAGTGTAATAAGTCTGAAAATTATGTGGTGCAGTTTTCGAAGCATCTTTCTGGAAAGAGCAATTTTTCTGGAGTCTTAAATTGAAATGTTTTCAATCAACTTCAATCGCTACTTATTACTTTTAAATTGCCTCAAGCGTACTAGCGAATATCAATTTAAGTTAAATTAATATTTTTCTCAACCTACCATATCATGACAATTTATTTCTTATCAGACACGATGAATATGTCATTGGTATCAAAATTTCTCACGAAACCAGCCGGTAGGTCATATTGCTCAAGAGTCATAATGTTGAACTGAGTTTCCTCACTTGTTGTTGAATGTTTCGTTAGTGACCTATGCTTCAAAGTGATATATGAACATGCTGTGTGTCATGTGAGGTCAATAATGTTATTTGAAAATATACATCGTTTTTATTCTGCACTTCTAACTGAATTGCTTATACCCCATCTTTCCGTGAAAAAACGTAGCTTTGGTTTGATTTATCTTCAATAGAATTTCCGTCTTAAGGACCAAAGTAGATATCCTTGATGTTGCCTTCCGTCACGCGAGAAAGCCACGTTCGTATCGATTACGCGCGAACTCTCCTCCCAAGATTAAATGATCTTTTTTTTGAAGTAAAAAAATTGCTTTTTTGTTTTTTTTTTATTGCTAGAACGTGCGCTGCATCTAAATTGTTGCGGAAAAAAGATCAGCTTCTATCACCGCACAATGAGTACTTGACACAAATCTGATCAAAGCAGGAAACGCTAAGCAGTCGTGACGTAAGCAACTAGCCACAAGATTGGATTTTAGCATTCCACGCGCTAGCTGGGAGTTATTTGTTTTCCTGGAGATTCAAAAAGATAAAGGGGAATCCATGATTTAGCAGTAATTCACCGATTAGCTTCATACCGATCGTCTCTAACCGCATCAACTCTACACTGAAGCATCGTAAAGGTGCCGAAAGGAGAGGAATGGCTTAACCCGAAAATAGCTAGCGCAGTATAACTCTGTCTGTATACAGTATCAATACAATATCGTTTCTTAAACTCTTTCCCCAAATCATTTCTTCAGCATGGTGCTCGATAAAATGGTATAATTAGTCTTTTAATACTTTTTTTTATGAAATGCCTAACTATGCAAAGTCAAAAATCAATAAGGGACTCACTAAAAACTCTCGGAGATTCCAAGGGTTTGCGCCAACGACTCTACACTGAGTACAATTTGGCTACGTCACTTCTGAAATCCTGTTCGTTCTCTTAAGAATCGTGAGTTTGCTTAAGGGCTAGAAAGAATGAATCAGAAAAAAATGTGAATCGTTCATCTTCAGTGTTTTTGTACCAATCACTTTGTTGAAGTGTTAAACGGAAGTCAAACACTTTCAGTTCATTCATATTTAACTCATAAAAGATAAAGGGGTTAAGTTTCAAAAGAAACTGCGGTGCTGCGTCGGTGGGAGAGTATAATAGTATAATTTAGTGTTGTCAACTGAGTTGAAAACGTAAATCGGCCACCGTAAAGAGTTTAAAGGCTGACGTTTTGTACGTTAGCCCTTCGTCAGAGCGATTCAGCGATTCAATCGCTTTGACGAAGGGCTAACCCTGAAAACGTCAGCCTTTTAACTCTCTACGGTGGCCAATTTACGTTTTCAACTCAGTTGACAACACTAAATTACCATATTTCACTCATCTTTGGTTAGTTTAGTTGGCTGACGGCTTTTTCTTATGCTTTATTTTACAGAGTTCGGTGAAATTTTCTTAACTAATCATTGTCGACATTCTACCTGCCAATCGAAGTTTACGAAGCGAAGGGAAGAAAAGTCAAACATCTCGAAAAATGTTGCTTTAGACTGGACTATGGTTGCATCGTTTTCCTTCGTGGAAGGAGATACAAACTTAAATCTATTTAGTTTGCGTCACTTGCTACATTTTTTGTACCCTCTGTAATAATCTAAAATGGCAGTTTGAATAAACGATGATCTCTGGGGTCAGTTATTAAGAAAAAAAAAGGAAAGCATCTTTTGTAACATTAATTAATTTTTCAACTAAGCTGTCTTCTTCATTCTCGAATATGCGTCTAAACGAACACGAAACATGCAACGTGCCGTAAATCATGTACACCTAAAGTCTGCCCTAACTATGGGGTCAGATATGTACTAAACGTCAGTGTCAGATGAAAATACCTGATTTGCTAATTATAATATGTGCAAATAATGCATTTCATTAGGATGAAGAACTGATAGTAATGCAAGGACTGAAATGTCATTAAAAAGGAGCCAAGAGGCTTTGCACATTACCTTTCTCTTTATCCCGTTAAGATAACGTCGTCGCCTAAAGTATTAGAAGGCATTAGCAACATCTGATTTATCATTTTAGTGACAAAGCGCACGATTTATCCGATAATTACTAAGGACGAACCTCAGCTATAAATAGTGAGCTCGAGGTCATTAATGTTTGTGCAAACTACAACTATATTTAAGATGTATTTACACTAATTTCTATCCTCTATGATTAACTCAGTTTATCGACAAAACTCCTATTCTTGCCATTATCTTTACGATTGTTATTTTACCAACAAAAAAAAAGTAAGTCTTTGAGAGAAAAGTTGAACCAACCATTGTGGTGAAGTGCTCAGTTAAGAAGCACTGTTTAGCGTCAATTTCTTGACAATCTAAGGTGAGGGTCGCGTTGAATCAAATTTGTGGGTTACCCTCCTTTATCAACGCCTTCTTAGTCAGTTGAATATCTAAATAATCATGAATAAGTTTCATCATTACGTTTTGTTTTAATTATTATTTGTGAATTTAAAAGCTTCCAAACACAACCTTAATGGATCTTAAATATAAACAATAGCTGTTTCTGAATTCCTGATTGATTAGGATGGATAATTATTGCAGTCTTACGTAACTAAATTTATATAACAATTTCTATCTGCTGCTTACGTTTAAGGGGTTCCTTTTGCAGAATTTTAATTCTACGAATAGTAATCGAGTGAGTTCAAAAAGCCAGGAATAAGTTACAGTTTACTTTGTAGGTAGAAATTTTGCTATCTTATACCAAGTAATTACAATCAATCTAACAAAACATTTCCACAAAATAGAAATAGCTAAACTACGGTCCGATCGCACAAGTTCGTTCACAGCTTGATTAAAATAGGTATCAAACGCCCCATGTTAATCTCCAGAATCAACAAAGCTGTTTCACTCATTGTCCGCCGCTCAAGGCAAATCTTGCGCAACATTTTGTCGCTTACACTAGTGATTCTGTCATCCGTCTTTAGCCATCTACCGTCCTTTTGGGGCTCAAATGAAGCTTCTGAGGTTCAGACACTGTTCTGGATAAGGGCACCTTTCTGTGATGTTCACCATCGACAGCAAATCTAACTTTTCGTCTTTGCAAGGAGTTCCCTTCGGTTTGTGATCCGAGAGATTTATTGTTGGTCATTTTCTCTTGGACAAAAGCTAAGAAGGTTTCTGATCTGCTTCGTTTTCTCATACGCCTCTCTGGCTTTTCTTCAGGTTTTCCCGTGACTACAATCTTCCGTTTCCCAGCATCCGTTAAAAGGAGGTTGGCATCACTACTGCACAAATGACCATCTTGAAGCCTTTTGATGTTGTGGAATATAAGAGTGAACGCTTGATTCATATCTTTATCATAATTGCTCTGTCTCCGGGATGAACAGTTATTCATGTTTCTGGTTCGCTTGTAGTCTTTCATCACGACTATACTGTTATTTTCCCATCCTCAAGTAAAGCCAATATGTTTCATTCGATGACTTGTTTGTTTTTACTGATACATCACGTACGACAGTGACAGAAGTGGACCCATAAATCAGTATCATTAGTTGAAACCAATTACCGCATTTTCTCTCTTCCAATCGGAAGCGCGCGCCAACCGGAAGATTAAATTAAGCTATATGTGGTCACGAAACAACATTATCGAAAACGTCTTCCTCAATTATACTGATTGTTCGACAATCACAAAAGAAACTCCTGGTGAATAAGAATATTAGGTTTTTTAGTTTACTGCTGAAAAAAGCAACAACCACATCAAAGAGCTAGCTATTTCGTTATTTATCAACCGCATGATCTCAAGCACGTCCTTGTTTGTCTTAAACAGTCTTTAAGACAGTATTCCAAGTCGGAATTTTTGTGATTAGACCAATTTGCCGAATTCACCTTTCGTCTTTGCATCAATGACCGTTGACGAAATTTTGTGATATTGGAATCAGTCTCCTTTTGTTTCATGGACGACAATTTATTTTCATCACAGAGTTAACGTTGTCTGCACCGACTCATTACCAGAACATTTTCACTTTAGCGTATTTCGTGGTATAGATAATAATACAGATATGGAAAATTGGATTTTCCAACTTTGAGTAGGTCATGTCAGCAGTAGATTCTAACCTCAGCACACGCACAAATATGTATGTAAAAGATAGGCTTGGTTTAACCTGTAGTGAAGCCAGGTTCCATCTTACATCATTGGTTTTCAAATAGAGGATGATAAGACCGATGAAGCAATCCAATCGAGTGTTTCGATGGCCTGATCAAAGTTTTGGACAAGATTACTTGGAACATATCAGGCCCAGGCAGAGCTGACTTCCTGTACGCATTCCATAACTTAAATTTTCTTCGTGGTAACCATACCTGACAAGCTTAAATTCTCAAGTTTGTTTGTTTATATGTTCGAATTCTCCTTCGTTTATTTGTTGGTTCATTTCTGTTTTTATTCAATTTTCTCCGTATCAGGAATTTGTACTGAGTAAAATTAAAGACAGCTCAACTTAACATCAAATATATGTTGGCGATAAAGGTTAAATCCTTGTTTTCACAAAAACTCGCAGCAGTTTATTTCATCAAGGAACTTTTTTCTTACCTTGCGGGTTTTTATAACCGCAAAACTACCAAACAAACTGATATCTATGCAAATAAACATTTTTATGCTGCAGGGTAAAAACATAGAAATCATAATTGAAAATTCTGCCATCATCAAATTAGTCTGGAAAGGGTTGTTGCAGTTCAAACATTGTAGTAGATTCTTGCGTGATACTCAAACTATCTAGTTTCCCTTGCAAACATTTAAACATGTCTAGAGTTTACTTAACTGATCCCTTGATCACTTCGTTCTTAGTCATCTAGATTAATGAGCCATGAAATTCATTGCCCTTAAGTCGGTTTGTGAGTCGACAACGGTAATAGTGCTTGTGACTAACGGATTAACAGCTAAATGTGGATTTCAAAATGACGATGTGTCCACAAAGAATGAATGTCGGGGAAAGCAAGAATGACATTTGTGAGAGTGAAATATCTATACTTTTCACGCTCTTTTAAGTCTCTTCAGTAAACAATTTAAGTAATAGAGCAATTCCCGGATTAGTAAGTGACTTACGACGCATTTTTAAGTTTCAAAAATTGTGCTATGCTGTAAACATACCGCGTTGACATTGTGTGGCGAACATTTATCCTGACTCTTCTTTTCAAAAGCATTACACCGCCGCACTTTGCCATGGGCAATTATTTAATTCGTCCAACATCACTCAAGCATTCGTCCTCGGCTTGCACGGCAAAAGCCACCTGTAGTCAAGATTATCTAGTCGAAGGCGACACAACTCATCGTAGGAAGTAACAGCTTTTTAATGTTTTAAATTACAGCTCGTATATTTTTTTGGAGCCTTTTTTCGACGATATTCTTCCAACATTTTGCATGCGTATCTCCTATTTTTCGCTATCAGCCTCTTTTGTGACAACAATACGTGGCTGTAAATCTGAAAACACTCTCTTAGTTAACGATTTTCTTTGTCGGTCAACCCGCCTGTCTTTCATTTCATGGTCGTCAGCGAATCTGACTTTTCTTCTCTGCATTGGACTAGTTTCGATACCATTGAAAGACCGAGATTTAGCACGACTTTCTAAACCTTTCAAGTGGTGCTGTGTGTCTTCCACTGCAAGTTTCAATGAAGAATCAGACATACATCTCTTCGGCTGCGCGAAAGGGACTTTCAGTGTCATAGCTGGATTTATCGACTCCTGCTGGTCATACTGAGGTTGGGCGATGTTAGGAGCGCTGTTGCATATTCGGTCATCTTGCAGTCTCTTGATGTTGTGGAAAATAAGAGTGAAAGCGTGATCCATCTCTTTGTGGTAAGTATGGTGTCTCCTAGATTGACCATTCGACATTTTCTCGGAACTTTTATGGTCTCTCAT